ACACTTTATTGCTAAAAAAAGGCTATCCATCATCTAAGCCCTTAGCAAGTCATAATGTTTTTGCTGGTGGAGGGTCTTGTCTCGATGTTGATGGCTGCTGACTAATTAGGGTGGTGGTTGCTGAAGGCTGGGGTGACTGCACCAGTTTCTTAAAATAAGACAACAGTGAAGTTTGTAGCATCAGTTGACTCTTCCTTTCACAAAAGATTCCTCTATAGCATGTGATACTGTTTGATAGCATTTTACCCACAGTAGAACTTCTTTCAAAATTGGAATCAATCCTCTCAAATCTTGCAGCTGCTTTATCAACTAAGCCTATGTAATATTCTAAATCCTTTGTTGTCATTTCAACAATATTGACAGCATCTTCACCAGGAGTAGATTCCACCTCAAGAAACAACTTTCTTTGCTCATCCATAAGAAGCAACTCCTCATCCATTAAAGTTTTATCACAAAATTGATGCAATTCTGTCACATCTTCAGGCTCTACTTCTAACTCTAGTTCTCTTGCTATTTCCACCACATCTGCAGTTACTTCTTCCACTGAAGTCTTGAACCCCTCAAAGTCATTCATGAGGGCTGGAATCAACTTCCTCTAAACTCCTGTTAATGTTGATATTTTGACCTCCTCCTATGAATCACCAATGTTCTTAATGGCATCTAGAATGGTGAATCCTTTCCAGAAGGTTTTCAATTTACTTTGTCCAGATCCATCAGAGGAATCACTATCTATGGCTGCTATAGCCTTATGAAATGTATTGCTTAAATAATAAGACTTGAAATTCGAAATTATTCCTTAATCCATGGGCTGCAGAATGGATGCTATGTTAGCAGGCATGAAGACAACATTAATCTCCTTGCACATCTCCATCAGAGCTATTGGGTGAGCAGGTGAATTGTCAATGAGCAGTAAGTAATATTTTGAAAGGAACCTTTTTTTCTCACTAGTAGGTCTCAACAGTGGGCTAAAATATTCAGTAAACCATGTTGTAAACAGATGTGCTATCATCCAGGCTTTGTTGTTCCATTTGTAGGGCACAGGCGAAGTAGATTTAGCATAATTCTTAAGGGCCCTAGGATTTTTGGAATGGTAAATGAGCATTGGCTTCAACTAAAAGTCAGCAGCTGCTTCAGCCCCTAACAAGAGAGTCAGCTTATCCATTGAAGCTTTGAAGCCAGGCATTGACTTCTGTCTACCTATGAAAGTCCTAGATGGCATCTTCTTCAAATATAAGGCTGTTTCATCTACAGTGAAAATCTGTTGTTTAGCGTAGCCACCTTCATCAATTATCTTAGCTAGATTTTCTGGATAATTTGCTGCAAATTCTTTATCAGTACTTGCTGATTTTGCCGCTTCACCTTGCACTTTTATGTTATGGAAATAGCTTCTTTCCTTAAATCTCATGAACCAACCTCTGCTAGCTTCAACCTTTTCTTCTGCAGCTTCCTCACCTCTCTCGGCCTTCATAAAATTGAAGAAGGTCAGAGCTTGCTCTGGATTAGGCTTTGACTTAAGGGAATGTTGTGACTTGTTTGATCTTCTATCCCGGCCACTAAAACTTTCTCTATATCAGCAATAAGGCTGTTTAACTTTCTTATCATTCGTGTGTTCTCTGGAGTAGCACTTTTAATCTCCTTGAAGAGCTTTTCTTTTGCATTCATAACTTGGCTAACTGTTTGGTGCAAGAGGCCTAGCTTTCAGCATATCTTGACTTTCAACATGTCTTCCTCGCTAAGCTTAATCATTTCTAGCTTTTGATTTAAAGCGAGAGATGTGAGACTCTTCCTTTCACTTGAACACTTAGAGGCCATTGTAGGGTTATTAAATGGCCTAATTTTAATACTGTCATGTCTCAGGGAATAGGGGAGCCCAAGGAGAGGGAAAGAGACAGGTAACGGCCGGTTGGTGAACGCCTACAACATTTATCGATTAAGTTCGCCTTCTTATATGGGTGTGGTTCGTGGCACCCCAAACCAATTACAATTGTAATTATCAAGGATTACTGATCACAGATCACCATAACAGATATAATAATAATGAAAAAGTTTGAAATATTGTGAGAATTACCAAAATGTAACACAGAGACGAAGTGAACACATACTGCTGGAAAAATAGTGCCGATAGACTTGCTTGACGCAGAGTTGCCACAAACCTTCAATTTGTAAAAAATGCAATATCTGCAAAGTGCAATAAAGTGAGGTACGTCTGTATTTAAAGGCCAGCACAAATAAGGACAGCCATTTAAACCAGAAGATCATGCTATATCATAAATTAGATGCAAAGGGGAAATTATGGTGGTGTATCTTAGATGAAAGCATAAAGCACTTAATTGGGTGATACACAAGTAATGAGGATGCTTTCCAGGATTTCAGTGGCCACTGAAGAAAAAGAAATGAAAACAAGAAAGAAGAGAGAAGCCAGCAGTACAGCTGCAGATGGCCTTGAAGTCAGTGTGGGGATTCTAATACCAATGTCAACACTACAACAACAGAAATAGCAGCTAATATTGCTGAACACATTATCTGCATTATGCTACATACATCTTATACAAACCCCACATGATAAAACAACCAAAAACCAAATCCGTTGCAGTTGAGTCCATTCTGACTCATAGCAACTCTATAAGACAGAGCAGAACTGCTCCATAAGGTTTCCAAGTCTGTAATCTTTACGGAAGCAGACTGCCACATCTTTCTCCCAAGGAGCAGCTGGTGGGTTCAAACCACTGACCTTCTGGTTAGTAGCCAAGTGCTTAACCACTGGGTCATCAGGCCTCTTCCCCACATGATAAACACCAATAATATACCAATAAAGGCCACATAAACCAGAGACTTCATCAGCCTGAGACCAGAAGGACTAGATGGTGCCTGGCTACCACCAAAGACTGCCCTGACAGGGAACACAACAGAGGCCCTGACAGAGCAGGAGAAAAGTAGGGTGCAGAACTTAAATTCTAGTAAAAAGACTAGACTTAATGGTTTGATTGAGACTGGAGGGACCCCAGAAGATGTGGCCCTCAAACTCTCTGTTAGCCCAGAACTAAAACTATTCCCAGGGCCAACTCTTCAGACAAAGATTAAACTGGACTATGGCACATAAAATGATACTCGTGAAGAGTGTGCTTCTTAGCTCAAGTAGATACTTGAGACTAGGTGGGCAGCTACTGTCCAGGGGCGAGATGAAAGGGCAGAGAGGGTCAGGAGCTGGTTGAATGGACATGGGAAATCCGGGGGGGAAAGGAGGAGTGTGCTGTCACAGTATAGGGAGAACAACAAGGGTCACATAACAATGTACGTATAAATTTTTGTATGAGAGACTGACTTGAATTGTAAACTTTCAGTTAAAGCACAATAAAAAATGAAAAATTAAAAAAAATATATACCAATAATATGTCCATTTTACAGATACAGCAATTGAAGCTGAGCAAGGTGAAACAACATGCCCACAGGCAGGTTTTCTCTTTCCTGTCCTCCTTACCCTCAGGCTGGACAGCCACAAAAAAAGCCACGGCATTTATCTGATGTTTTTCTGCATTTGCCTTGCAAATAAGCGCACACAACAAAAAATACTTGAAATGAAAACACTCACAAATAACAGCTCATCCTCTCCCTTGAGGGGGTTGATAGAGTGAAAATAAATGAAGCCATCATTCTTTACTGTTTCCTGGCGAATCTTGAGTTGGTTTGGAAGATTACTGGCTGGATAGACAATGCTTATATATTTTTATGCATTTATAGGGCTCATTTCAGCTGGGCCTTATGCCATAAAATCCAAGGGAATTGCAGTAATTTTAAAGTGAAAATCAATTTTTGAAATGGAACCAGGACAACAGTTCAGAAAATGGATAGCAGGCAAACCAGTTGGGTTCAACAAGAACATGAGGCAGCTATTTTGGGTGAATAAGTGATTCTTCTTCAGATGATAATGACAATTGGCTGCCTTGGGTTGGATTCAGTCTGAAGATGTGTTTTGTTTGCTCTGTACAATGGTTTGCAAATCTGGGCCAACACTTCAAAATTGTGAGTTTCCATATAAAACTAAGATTTCTGGCTTCTCTTGAAGAACTAGCCCATACTAGACCTCCATTTCCACTTGGGATTAGTTGGCAGGAGCTTACTAGGGTCTTTTACCTTAAGACAGTCCATGAGTTCTATAAATGCCCATGTCCCCATCACTTTCCCTTGTACCCTACTCCCACCCCTCTTCACTCATTTACATTATCTGCCAGGCCCTGCAGGCTTTACAGTCTGCACCTCCCAATCATATCTCCAGAGTACTTACATACGCTTGAGTCTAAGATCAAACTACTGACCAACCCATTAGTCAGTTACTGTCACTTTGGACAACTCCGTGAAACAAAGTCCCCAACATTGGTTTACCGGTAAAGTCTCTATTCTTTTGAAAGCCCTTGGTGTGGCAGTTTTAAAACATACCTCCCAAATTTTTGACATTCCTCACATCAAACTGTGGAATTCTCTTGAGTCTGAGCCCCTGGGGCTCTGTGACTGTTTGAACAACAGAATATGGCAGAAGTGATGCTGTGTCAGTTTCCAGGCTCAGCCTTAGGAAAAAAAAAGCTTGATGATTTCTACTTTCCCTCCCTTGGGACATTCACTCTTAGAACCCAGCCACCATGATGTAAGCAAGCCCAAGCCACTCTGTGGAGAGACCTACATAGAGAGGACTGACTGCCAGCATCAGGTCGTCAGGTGAGTACACCATTTTGGAAGTGGATCCTCCAGGCCCAGTGGAGTCTCCTCAGGTGACACTGTGTGGAGCAGTAACGAGCTGTCCCGGCCAAGCCCTGACCATGTTTCAGATTCACAAACAAAATAAATGATCATCGTTGTGTTAAACCAATAACCGTTGGGGTGTTCTGTCATGCAGCAAGCCATAAACAGAACACCCAATCAGAACACTGGAAAGGGCTTCACTAAGACCAGCAGGAATTAAGGAAGAAAATGTTCCTAAACAATGGCCCACCCATTCCTCTTCTCACCTGGCCGATGTGCCTTTGGAACCGCCATGTTCATCACTCTTCCTCCATCCTGAGGTTTGGGGGGTGATGCAGTGAACCTGCAGATCCCCGATTCTGAAGGGGTGCTGGAGGTCAGACTGTCTGTGTACTCATTAGTCCCTGCCGTCAACTGTTCAGATGATGTGTCCGATATGAAGCACTCTGTGATGGTGAACTTGGCGTGCCTCAACTGTTCTTCCATCTTGGCGTGTTCGTAGGCCCTGGCAAGTTCCTCGTAAGTGGAGGAGGCACTTTCTGTGGAGACCATGCTGCTTCTTGCTCTATCTATGCCATGAGAAAAAGAACACAAGATGGATGACCTTGTTCCCTGAAGTCTGAACCAACTGGATTGTTCTTTCTGGCTCCTGGCTATTTCTTTCAGATCACTGTATAATTGGCCAAGGGTCTTAACTCTTTGATCAGAGGAATCTGTCTCTGCCACTCATGAGGCCAGCTTTAGAAGCCACTGCAACTTTGGCCCGGGAAACCTTGTTTCAACTGAATTACTGCAGTTGGATGTCCCTAGCTTAAGACATTTCCGTAAATAGGTAATGCATCCCCCTTAAAAAGTTCTGTTAAAACAATTGGGAATTTGGTGTAAATGAACTGCACTGTCCCCCCTCCCTGCTCTGACGTGCAGATTGATCAATACCTGAGAGACTCTTTAATTGCCATGAATAATTTGCACTTTGTGGTTCAGCTCCTCTTGACTCTGGCTAGGGGAAGAAAGCCCGGACAATGGATAGAAATGAAGACGTGACTTAGCACGGAACTTGCCCACTAGGCATAATGGTCCCCTTTCCTGGGACTCCTCCCATGTGTTTCTAGATCTGTCACCCTTTATAAAACCAAAACAACCCGTTGCTATTGAGTCACTTCTGACTCATAGCGACCCTATAGGACAGAGTAGAGCTGCTCCATAAGGTTTCCAAGCAGCACCTGGTAGATTCAAACTGCCAACCTGTTGGTTAGCAGGTATAGCTCTTAACCACTATGCCACCCTTTATGGAGACTAGAAAATAGCCATGAGAGTAATAGGTGCAAACATGCCTTTTAACTGGACAATGTCTTTTTGGTCAGGGGGAGCTCTGCAGTTGAAGCCCACAAAAAAGTTCTGAAGTCACCTAGGTGAAACTCTGAGACTCTTCTAAGAAGAATTAACAACCATAAAAATAAATGTACACGGTGACGTCCCACCTTTGGAACACTATTTTTGAAGTATATCATCAAGAACAAAAGAAAAATGAGTATTCAAATTTCCTACAGCTATTAGGTTCAGATCTAATGTCTTTGCAAAATTTTATGCAGGGGGGTGGGCAATCCATTGCTATTCTTAGGCCTTATCTTCTCTCAGAAGAGAAATGTTGGTGGCTGATGGCTTAGACTAGATGACTTACCTTATAATCAACCCCTGTGTAATTGTCAAATGGATCAGCCTATGTTCCCTACAGAGGGTGCTATGACCTTGTCACATAACTTCAACTGCAGTATCTTAACCTTGGAGATGGCAGTGGGTTACATTCCCTCTGAGGGTAACTGGGAATTATTGCAACTGTGTGGGTGAAAACTTAAAATTTCTCTTTTTTACCCAGTGGAGAAGGAACTAAAAGGAGAGAGCAGCATGTACCTGACATTCAGGACACCTGCAAAATCGATACCTTTTGTCTCTATTTTGCAGAATTCATTCAGCTCTGGATGTAAAGGCTATGCAGTTGTGTTGGTAACTCTTAGATAAATGGCTGAATCATGTGAAAACAACCTTTAAAAAAACCAAAACCAAATCGGTTGTTGTCGAGTCGATTCCAACTCATGGCGACCCCATGTGGGTCAGAGTAGATTGATGTTTTGGAAGTAGATTACCAGGCCTTTCTTCTGAGGTACCTCTGGGTAGACTTGAACCACTAACCTTTCAGTTAGTAGCCAAGCACTTAATCATTTACACGACTCAGAAACCTCAACACTTAAAAAAGTAAGTAAAAAAAAGAAGCCCCCTCTCTCCTCCCCAAAGAGCCCACAGAGTTCATGGTGTGGACAAGTGCAAGGTTTGGGCCATGTAGGCCAAGGAGAAGGACTGCAGGGCCATACCTGTGTCCTGGGAGGGGCTGACGCTGTAACTGTCACTCTCCTTGTCCACTGACCCCGTAGCCCTGGGTGTCGGCAGCCTCCAGTCTGTGGTGAGAGTGTGTGCTGAAATGGTGGGGTGGGGTCTGTTGAGCGTCCACTGGCTGGCATACCGGTTTCTTGCTGTCGGTCCGGCCTTTGCATTCCTCCTGGTGGTTGGATCTGTGAAGAGTCAGGTCTAAAGTCTGTCTTTATCTCTAGATACGTGTGGTCAGCTGTGATTGAGGTGTTGCGGTGAGCTGCACACCAGTGAATGGAGATTTCCTTTCCAGTCACACTATTCACCCTCCAGGGCCCAGCCCTCCAGGAAGCCCTCCTTGATTCTCCCTGCCTAGAGTCCTCTTTTCCTTTCTTTTATAGTCTGAAACATTCATCTGATAGTTGTTGTTGTTAGTTGTTGTCGAGTCGCCTCTGACTCATTGTGACTGTTACAGATCAAATCGTGTCCTCTAAAAATGTGTGTCAGCTTGGCTAGGCCATGATTCCCAGTATTGTGTGGTTGTTCTCCATTTTGTGATCTGCTGTAATTATCCTATATGTTGTAAATATTAACCCCTATGATGTTAATGAGGCAGGATTAGAGGCAGTTATATTAACGAGGCAGGACTCAATCTACAGGATTAGGTTGTATCTTGAGTCAATCTCTTTTGAGATCTGAAAGAAAGAAGCCACCAGAGAGGAGAGGGAACTCATTACTACTAAGGAAGAAGAGTGAGGAGCAGAGCGTGCCTGTGAATTCAGGATCCCTGCGCTGAGAAGCTCCTAGACCAGGGGAAGATTGATGGCAAGGACCTTCCCTCAGAGCTGATAGAGAGAAAGCCTTCCCCTGGAGCTGGTGCCCTGAATTTGGACTTCTAGCCTCCAAAACTATGAGAGAATGAATTTCTGTCTGTTAAAACCATCCCTTTGTGGTATTTCTGTTATAGCAACACTAGATAACTAAGACAGTGACCTTAAGTTTAACAGAAGGAGACACTGCCCTGTCCTTCGCCATCCTCAAAACTGTTGGTATGTTTGAGCCCACTGTTGCAGCTATTGCGTCAGTACATCTCATAGAGGATCTCCCTCATTTTCACTGATCTTCTGCTTTATCAACCTTGTGTCCTTTTGTAGCAATTGGATCGGATTCTCACACATTTAAAAAACATTAGATTTGGACTAAGAAGTTATAAGTCTGAGCCTTGCTCTTGGCCCTTAATAATCTCATGACCCAGTGTGCATTATTTAAACTCCTTAAGCATCTCCATCTTTGTAAATCAGGGAGCTCAGCCAAATATGCCCTAAGGTTGCATCCATCCTGAAGTTCTTCCACCTTGAGATGTTCCCTGTACTGTTGTCTTGCATGTACTCATTGTCTCAAAACCATAGAAACAAACCAGTTGCCATCAAGTCAGACTCATGGTGACCCCATGCGTGGAGGGTAGAACTAGGCTTCATAGGGTTTTCAAGGCTGTGACCTTTTGGAAGCAGATTGCCAGCCCTGTCTTCTGAAGTGCCTCTGGGTGGGTTTGAGCCTTCAATCTTCTGGTTAGTAGTTTAGCGCTTAACCATATGTGTGACTCAGGGACTCACATTGTCTTAAGTATGATAGTTTTATGCTTTAGCTGAATTGCAAGCCCCGAGAGCAGAGGGACCATACCTTTTTGTCCCATTACTTCCTTAGCCCTTCACATATGGTAGTATATCCCTTCAGTGGAATTTTCTGAACTTTGACAAAGATGACTTGGAATATTCAATCTGGGAACAAAGGATGAAGGGGCATCCAGATTTCACATGTCTACCAGCTTCAAAAACATAAAGGTTTATGTAAACATAGGCTGGTGCCAGGTAGGTTTTCCCTGAGTCTGGAACCTAAGGCAGTAAGTGGATGGGGTGGACTGGGTTCTTTGCTCACCTCTTCAGTGAGCTAAGAAAAAGAATGTTCTGATGGCAAAGAATGTTGGACACTGGGATAGGCCACCACATTGCCTTTTCTGGAATTTTGTGGAAAAGAGGGGAGGTTTAGTTTTATGGAATGATTTTTCTGGGGCTTCAGATGGGCCTTTCCCATCTTTGAATTCTCTGCTTCTCTAAGAGGAATCTTATTCATCCCACATCACATATGTGTGAAACATTTAATGTGTGACTTGAACATTGAACTGACAAATTAACTTCTCTGACATAAACAACTTCTAATCTTATCAGCCATTACCTGCACTATGAGTCAGAATCAACTTGACGGCAATGGGGTTTACCCTGTTGTAGACCCCAACTTTGTTGTGACACGGTGTGACATAGCCCTTAGTTTATCTATGTTAAAATGAACCCTGAATGTGCACCCCTGATTATGAACCTATGGCATGAGTTACCCCGATGCAATGTGAGCTGGATGCCTCTCCAGTAGGACCCTTATCAATCAGGACCAGAGGACTGAACCACAAAAAAACCCTGTGGTTTTGCTCTCCCAATGACAGCTAAAAATGGGAGACTGAGAGCTTGACATAACTAATGCCATGATGAACCTATAAGTTTTTTTTTTTCTTTGGCTTCTCCTTTCCGCATACCTTTGCCAATGACTTTGTTTTGCTCTATCCACCCACCTGTGGCTTATGGCCCCCTATGGGAAGATTAGAGACCAGATATCTGATATGTATATCTTTAGCCTGATAAGGAAATGTCTGGCATGTAACTCTTTAGTATGATAGAGTCTCTTGCAATTACCTTGTAATGAATAATGACACTTCTCACCTTTGTAAAAATAATATATAAGCTCTAATGTAAAAATGCCTTTTGGGACTCCATACAGAGAGCCTGCGTTGCTGTTGGATCCCCGGTGGTGGACACCTCCTAAAGTAAAACTTTCTCACTCTTTCTGACTTGGAGTACGTTTCATTGGTGTGACTGCTCCAGGGCACAGACCCTATTTGGGTGACAAAGTAAACTCCCAAAGGCTAGAAGATTTGGACTTTAATTATTGGACTTACTTTACACCACCCTGATTCTCCAGGTTTAAGTGAATGTCTTGAGATCTTAGCTGTGTGCTGTGCCGTGACCACCTCGCAATAAACTACATGAGTTTATGCTGACAAACCTGAGCATTTCTCTGCCTATGTTAAAATAAAATCTCACAAGGAAACTGCTCAGCATGAATGAAGCAGTTTCAAAAGAGCAAGTCTGACAGGGGCCAACCTGTAACACTGTTGTATTGACTTATCTATGTGCTCTCGGGAGCCTGGAAGTGTCTCCAGGGCAGGGCATGGGTGTTCATATTGGATCCACCCACTGAGCCTATTACAATCTCTGGCACACACAACTCATGGAATGAATACATATGGCCCAAGGTCACTTTATGGATGAGGCAATGGAAGCTCAGATAGGAGAAGTGGCATAGCAATTAAGTGATAAAAGTGGAACGCAATGGAACCCCCTGACTGAGTTCAGTGATTGCCTGTTATTTGACCATCTGTGTCCTCATCCTGGGCATCTGAGTTTTCTGTACAGTGTCCACATGACACTAACTTGTTTACAATTCCATGTTGGAGCATTAGAGGCTGACACTGGTTAAGTGGTGAAATGACTTTCCCTTTAAATGGAGGATTTTCCTCTTTTCAAGTTTCCAGTTATTGGACTTTGAACCCAATCCATCATTCCGTGATGCTGGAGACAAGCTTTAACATGGCAGCCATATCAATACATTTTAAGATTTCCTGGGTTATCACAACACTCAGTCTTGGTGCATATTCTCTAGGGCATTGATTTTAAGACAGATTTCATCCCTTACTTACAAAATTCCAAAGAAGAACTTTATCAGGAGGTTTTTTCCTCTTTTTTCCCTTGATTATAATGTAAATGAGTTATGCTAGAGTGCCAAGCTCTCTAGACAACAAGGTGTGAATGATAATTGTGTCTCTCGACTGAAATGCTAGGAGAGAGGTCCTCAAAGAGACAGACATTATCATGGGTGGGAGGCTAAATGTCTTGCAGGCACTATCGACTTGATAAGTAGAGCTTAAACAAGTGAAGCTTGTTATTTAAATGCTAATGAGTCTTTTCCAGAAAATTACCCAGCTCCTTGGATGAGTTTTGAGGGTTCTCATTTTTATTCTTCTCTAAGTTTCTTGCAATTACAGCTGTGGACCATTCTGAGCAGGCTTACTCCTGATAAGAGTGCTTGGAGGGGCTGGTTTCATAGTAATTTTCTGGTGATTTCCAGAAATTTACCCAGACACTTGCATAAGTTTTGACGGTTCTCATTTTTACTCCTCCAAAGTAATAAGGCCTGGTGATCTACTTCTGAAAGGTCACAGCCTTGAAAACCCTATGGAGCAGTTCTACTCTGCACACACACGGTCGCCATGAGTCAGCATCAACCTGGCAGCAAGTAACAACAACATTTTTATTCTTCTTTAAGTTACAGCAGCTACAGCTGTGGGTCATTCTGACTTCGTTTACCCCTGCCAAAGATGCTAGGAGGGGCCTGTTCCATAGTCCCACTTCAACGAAAATACCCACTGCCATCAAGTTGATTCTAACTCATAGCGACCCTATAGGACAGAGTAGAACTGCCCCATAGGGTTTCCAAGGCTGTAAGTATTAACAGAAGCAGACTGCCACATCTTTCTCTTGCAGAGTGACTGGTAGGTTCAAACCGCCAACCTTTTGGTTAGCAGTTGAGCACTTAACCACTTGTGCCACCAGGGCTGCTTCTTCAAGGACATGTAGTTGTTGTGTGCCGTCTAGTCGATTCCGACTCATAGCGACCCTACAGAGCAAAGCAGAACTGCCCATAGGGTTTCCAAGGAGTAGCTAGTGGATTCCAACTACTGACCTTTTGGTTAGCAGCTGTAGCTCTTAACCACTGCGCCACCAGGGCTCCTCTTCAAAGACATACTTTCCTCAAAACCCCAAGTTCCTCACCTGTGTGAGGAGGCAGAGACCATCACTCTAACAGCCCTTCTTCTCACTGAGATCATCCTACTGGGAAAACTGCAGGGTAAAGCTGCATGTGTCACCTGCTATTCAAAGCCAGAGCTCTCTTCAAGTTAATTTTGTTCACTATCCCTGTTTTCTAGATGAGGACAGCTTTGCCAGTGGCCTAATAATGTTAAAAATATAGGTCATGATACTAGTTTCCTTTAACCACAGCCCACGGTTCTGCTGTGCTCTAAGCCAGCATCCTAGAG